AGAGGGAGCTGGACACAGACAGGCCAACGGTCCCTCTGGCCTGCTCAGATCATCCAAGGCAAAACAAACCACTGTGGTTAACAATCGCATCCCTGCATGTTAGGCTGTCTGTTAAACGAAAAGGCAGAAAGTGTTATGCAGAATTAGCACGTTGTATGCCAACTGCTCACCTGTGCAAATGACCCATCAGTGCCGAGAAGCACGTCGTAGCAGATGTCCTGCAAAAACAAGGAGAAAGACGGGGAATGACTGCGAAACATAGAGCGGCTTGATTCAAGACTTCCAGATAGTAATAAAAACGAAAAAAAATAGCTCACATCATCGTGAAGTGTATAGGGAGGCTGCGGAGCTCCTGCCTTCCGATCCTTTTCTTCCCTTTTTGTATCATCTGCGTCCGCCGGTGCTTCTGCTGCTTCTCCTGTTGCTGCTGCTTCTCCTGTTGCTGCTGTTGCTGCCGCGTCCGTCCTTGCGTTTCTGCTACGAGACGCTTCAGTTGTGAGGCGTAAGTGCACGCGGCCACTGCGGCGAATGAGCATTTGCCCTATCCTCCCAGACGGAATAGCATGCAGGGGAGTAGGAGAATTTCTTCGAGCGATGTTGGCAGGGGTGGAACTGTTATTATTGGTACTGCTGCTGCTGCTTTTGTTCTGCTGCTCCTCAGCATTTTGATGAGCTGGTTGTTGACCCTCAGCCTGCTGAGCTTGCATTGCGGAAATGTCCAGAGCCGGCAGAAGCTTCGGGAAACAGAAATGCACAAATTCGCTGTACGGAGACAAAAGAGCACAACAAGCAGAAGATGCTGCAAAATAAATAATGCACTCGGCAGCCACATCGCGAAGAATAAATACTTCAGAAGGGTCTTCTAGCTCGAACTCATTAGCAGGTGACTTTGTGCAGCGAAAGCTCTATGCGTTTCTCGTCCTGCTTTTGTGGTTTTGCTGATTCCAGCATGTGGCTTCCTAAGGGTATACGTGCAGCACTAACAGCCTGTGGTCGTCTTCCCAGTATTCGCCTTGGCCTCCATCTGCATGCTGATCTTTCAGCAACAAAGCACCTGGAGTATCAATTTGCTCGTCGCGTTTAATGAAGCCCTCTAAGCTGCATTTTTCGCTTTTGAGTTGCACGGAAGTCCCCTCGCCGTCCCTCAAGTGGTTGGGGGTGGACGCAGCAGTATCTATGCCCTGTATGTCGTCCAGCTGCTGCTGCTGGGCCTGCTGGGCGCAGTCTGTCTCCTGCTTGCCCTGCTCACGCGAGTGACGTTTGAAGGGGATGGTGATGGGGAGGAACAAGTGGCCCTGGGTATTGTCGATAGCCAAGTCGCTCAGGCAAATGGAACGGGGGCCCTTTTTGCTTCGCTGTTTTGCATCGGGGGTGCTGGCCTGAGACATCTGAATCTGCGAAGCCGCTGCCACAGCAGCAGCAGCACCCGGGATGCTGTGTGCTTTTACTGGCCCCATGAACTTCGGTCTGTTTAACCCTCTGGCCTGCAGCTCACAAGTGCACAGAGACGAAGACATAACCTCTGTCGATCGCCGATCACCGACAAACCTCTACAGAGGAAAGCAGCAGCACAGCCTGCTGCATGAATGCACGCGTGATCGCCTGAAGTAATTAGATGATTTACTTGGAGAGTCGGCGCTTGACTGTGCAGAGAACGCAGCACTAACGCGTCCACGCTATAGGCAGATGGCCCAGATGCAGCAGCAGTCGAGGAAGAGGCCGGCCANACAGTGCTGCGGCTCCCACTGCTGCTGGCGCTGCCGCTGCCTTCAGCTGAAGGGAAAGGAAGCGATGGTGACACGGAATGCTGTTTCAGCTTCGGGTCTCGAGGCTGAAGAGAAGGCAAAAACTGACCGGGGCCCCTAGGAAACCGCAGAGCTGCTGCCGCTGCCAATTGCTGCTGCTCATGCTGCCGCATAGAAGAGAAACTGCGAACCCGTACTGCACGTACACACGACGGAGACAGAAGAAATCAAGAATGAGGCGAACTAATCCTTTAGGTGTACAAGCTCCAACGCACTTCAACTACTCCACTCTTACCACCTAGAATAATCCACTAGAACGGCATGCGTCATTCAGCATCCATTCATTCATGTAAGTGCACTGAATGATACATATGCACTTTCATTGATATAATGCATGAGTAAGCACCATTCCTTCACGATAGGATATGTGATACATGAGCTAATTGATTGTAAATAGAAGCTGTGAACAGTGTGAGTTTAGCAAGGAATAGGGGACTTCACATTCAGTGACTTACAAGGCTCCTTCTTGGTAGGCGGCAGATGCTGCCGGTTGTCGCTGCTGCCTTCCATGATCTTCTTCCCCTGAAATAATAATAATTGAGAATTTAATATCGAGAGTACAGCGTTTATAAAACAGGCAGTCTAAAAATTTACTATGAAGTCAAGTTCAGTCAACGGCTGGCGAGCCGTCTTTCGAGATACAGGGCGGAGGGGAGA